CAGCGACAATGAGCAGCCAAGCTGTTGAGTGAAGTGCGCAGGAAAAAGGATGTGAAGCGCCGTATGACCAAATCGGCCCTTTAAAGCGATACTAACGATTATTTTATTTTGCTAGCTGCGAAGTCCATGAAGTATGTAACATCAGTGACACTGGTGTGTGCCCACGAAGCAAGCATGCGACTCTTCAGCCGAGGAATTGACAGTATTTGGTCAAACTTTGCTGGCCTGTTGGGAGATCCCGCTTTCGGTTCGCACTCAAATGAATGCGAAAAGCTGCGCGAGATCCTGTTTCGATCACGGTCTTTGCCGAGGTCTCAAGCACACTCTTTGCGCTGGCTTTGGTGCTTCTGGCATTGACAGGCAGCTATGCCGTGGCAGAGAAGGCGACTTTGAGTGACAAAAGTGGAAGTGGCATGGAAGCAGATAAAAAGGGAACATGGAGGAGCAGCAGGCCACTAGGGTGGAAGCCATCGCTACTAGGTTGGAGGCCATCGCTTAATTTTAAGGTCTGTAAGCGCAGGTCTTGAATTGTAAACATTTTGCGATTTGATACAAGGATGCTAAGATAGGCCTAGGATGCTTGTTACTACAGGGTTTTGTGTCATAAAAGTTATATACAAGATACGTATAGATTATACTACACACATGCCACGCGCATATGTTCTGCTCAAGAGAACTGTCGACCAGTTGAACCGTTTGTCGGCTTTAAGCATTGCAGGTGGGCTTGGCCATGGGTATTTTACAGGTGTCACCTGGAACGCAAATAGTCATCGCTACTAGGAGCAAGGAGCAAGGACGCTACTAGGGGCTCCTGGCCGTACTACTAGGAGCAATGTTCGCTACCAGGAACAAGAAGCATTAGTTAGTTTTCGTGCTGGGTTTGGCCCACAAATCTTTTTCCTGAGACTGCCTTTGTCTCTTTCCTCGCTCCTCAGGTTCTTTTTTTGCGACGATCTTCATGAACCATCCAAATGGCAGAGACATTTGGGAGGATTTGTGGTCATTTCCTCTGATTCTCGACTGCAATCACGAGGTGCCAGGCTATTCTGAGGTTGAGCTTTGGCATGGACCCAAAAGCATTCTTCAACCGATTGGAATTACTGCATTTGACTTCTGAGATTGCCGCCGATCTCATTCCTAGGACAAATGGAAACTATGTGAAGCTCGTCACAGCCAACATAGGTGCAGTCATCATGCACCTTGTCTGTAATCTACTTTAGGGACATAGTGGCTTCGCGAAAACAAGTCAAGGCCCTGGATGCTTGCATATCAGCAATCAGCCCTTTGCGAAAAAAGGTGTGGCAGGCCCTCCGGCAGTTTTGCATTACACCACACTC